TGTGTGTTGGCTAACGTGGAGACCATAGGACAGTCGGGCTCATGTCTGCCAGAAGCTGTGAAGCCTGCTAGGTGATAACCCAAATTAATTTTTTAATCACTTATAATTCTTCATATGATTTTTCTTTAATAGCATTACGTGCTGCGCGTATTCCTCACAGGGAGTCTCTTCCCTGTACCATCTGTAAGTTTGCGGTCTACCGTGACTAGGCATGGCCCAATGCTGACCAGGTGGAGACTTGATGAGTCGTGTGGGACCTGCCCAGGGCCAGCCAGCTAGACTTGGAAAGTGAAGAGGGCGGGTCGAGGCAGTGGAACCTGTGGTGACTGGCCCATGGCAAGTGCACCACCCATCTTGCCCATCCTGTGGTGAAGACAACATGGGATTTCGGCATAACCCCACCCACCACAAGTCTGGGGACCAAAACCACATTCACCCAGAATCACATCACTAAGACCAGTCCATGACTTACCGATGCTATTTTGAAGTTTTAGGTTTTCTCCCCTCCCTGCTGTGCCCCAGTACCTTTGTACGCCCATGGCTTCACATTGCATCAGCCTTAGGGAGGCTGTTCTTGACTGGGGCCAAGGTGTTGGCCTGGCAAGGACAGGGACGCACCCAGGGTAAGAGAACAACTTCTCTGCAGAAATCCTTAATTCAACAAGTGTGTTCCAGGTGAATTGGCCGTGGTCACACACTTGTCATCAACATTGCCTGGAACGGACAGAATCCAAGGAACCAGAGCTTATGCTTTGTTGTGTAGCACTTCTCAGTATATCCAGATTTTAATCAGAAACAATCCATTTTTGGGGTGCCTTGATGGCTCAGTGGGTTAAGCACCTGCCTTCGGCTCAGGTCATGATCCCAGGGTCCCGGGATCGAGCCCCGTATTGGGCTCTCTGCTCAGCAGGGAGTCTGCTTCTCCCTCTCCCTCTGCCTCTTGCTCTGCCTGCTTGTGCTCTCTCTATCAAATAAATGAAGCCTTTTAAATTAAAAAAAAAAAAAGAATCCATTTTTATGTTAGTGAGTAATTCAAATGATTTTTTAGAATACATGGGGAAAAAAACGTATCTGTGAAGGAAAGTTGAACCCCCTGTAGTTAGAGAACTTCTAGACATAAGCTTTTCTGTAATGTTTGTAGGCAATATGGGTAATAAGAAATGCTGGAGGGATTTAAGTAATTGCACCATTTCCCATTTATAACCCCTTATAGTTTACAGGGTACCTTTGAGAAAGTTACATAATTTGATATTCACAATAATCCTGGGGTCACTCGGGCTGTCATTTCTGTCTCACAGAGGATGTATTAGACTGAGGGTTAAAACCTTGCCCAAGGCTCTTTCATCATTGGCAGGTTCTTTTGCTTGTTCCTTTACAAGAGTAAAGGAAGAGTATTGAGTTATCTTGTGGCAGGCGCCTGAGACACAATGTCTTGTTAATCCTTCCAACATGGTGGAATGAACTCCTTTGAGAGATTAGAAACAAGCTGTGAACATTAAGTAGCAGTCCTCAAGGCTCGGTGTAGAGGCAAACTTTGGTGTAGCTTAGAGGCTTTCAATGGACCATCTCCTTTTATCCTCCAAACAGGTGCTCTAGATAGAAAGGAGGTATTCAGGAGAAGGAGGGGGGAAATGAAGGATGGGAGGGGAATCAAAGCGGGAGACAAACCATTAGAAACTCTGGACTCTGGGAAACTGAGGGTTTCAGAGGGCAGAGGGTGGGAGGAATGGGTTAGCTTGGTGACGGGTATTAGAGAGGGCACGTATTGCATGGAGCACTGGGTGTTGTACGCAAACAATGAAGCATGGAACACTACATCAAAAACTAATGAAGTACTTGTATGGTGACTAATGTAACATAATAAAAAAGATAAAAATGCTGAATTTTTAAAAAATGAATTATTCTTAGAATTCCAGTTTTACAGAAGAGGACAAAGAGGGCTTTTTGTTTGTCTCTTTAATGGTTAGATGCCTAGAATCACGGAGCCAGTTAGGATTTGGAAGCCTAAACTGTCTCTTTTCCGCTTTGATGTGCTGGGTACTGCTCATGTCCACACCTTGGGTTAACCTGAATGAGATTCCTCACGCAATAGTTTGTCTTTGACAATAGCCATTGCGAATGGTCAGCCTAAGAATAGGTACTTTTTTTGGTCTGCAATCTTAAACTAATTTTCAGGAACAGGAAATAACTATGAATAAGTGGGCTGTTTGGGGGAGTTTATAACTTCATTGAGAAATCTGCTAATCATTTATTAAGAAAGATTCTGAACTTGAAAACTGAGGAAAATCCACACATATTTGTCAAATTTGGGTAGAACTTTTGTTTTCCAAACATTTATTTTTGTCAAAAACTGAGGGTATCTAAGTTTTCATTGATTTTCAAGTGGGAATAGTTTCCTGATTGTTACTTTGGTTTCATGGCACTGAAAGTGAATGATTATGTTTGTAAAATTGTAATTATAAAATTATGAATAAAGGGACCCATCCTTTGGTCCCATATTTCAGTGGAGGAGTCTTCACATAGACGCTGGTACTTGTTTACTTCCAACCCAAAAATACACATGATACTTTGGTAGATTAGTGATTAGAAGGAGTTAGAATTAAATTCATTGGAGTTTGTCTCTCTTTTTTTTTTCCTCCCATGTGAAGATATTTTTTAAATAGTTAGCTGTTTTACTTACTTAACCACATTAATAGTCTTCAGTTCACGAAAAAGTCAATGCTGTGGCCTCCTTTCAACTTCAGCAAAGATATGGGATGTCCTTAGATGTAAACTCTATAGAAATGCAAGAAGTTGGGGCGCCTGGGTGGCTCAGTGGGTTGGGCCTCTACCTTTGGCTCAGGTCGTGATCCCAGGGTCCTGGAATTGAGCCCTGCGTCGGGCTCTCTGCTCAGCGGGGAGCCTGCCCCCCCCCACCTACTTGTGATCTCTGTCAAATAAATAAATAAAATCTTAAAGAAATGCAAGAAGAGTCTTGGTTCATGTGTGTGCTCCTTAATTCTTCCTTGCAACACATGTTCGCCTCTAAAAACATACATGGGATGCCTTTCTTCAAGTTGATTGTATTCAACGCCTGTACCTTTAACTTAGAAACCTGACAGATGTTTTGAAGAAATTGATACCATCATCTTTTGTGAAAGAACTATGATAATTGAGTTGAGCATAAGCCTCCAAATTGTGTTTTGTTTCATTCTGGTGTCCTTCAAATCATACATGGTACCCATTAGTCTACTGCATGTTTTAACAGGTGTGGTTAGTTTTCCTGCTGACACACACGATCACACCACTGTCAAAGAAAGTGGGTGTGTATATTCATAAGTGGTGGTTCAAAATATTTTAAATAATAGTAATAAAAATATATTTTAATCATAAAACAAAGGCTCAGTAGAAGCCAGCTCTTGAATACCTGTGTGTCTCATTCAGAGCAACATGTTACTGTCTCCTTTTGCTTTTGTGCTTGTGTTATATAGTGTGTATTTTATGTAATCATGTACTGAGGTTAGACAGTAGGGGGAGTCTTTGGGAAGAAGCAGTGTGCAAGATTTGTTATTATGTATAAATTCTACTTTACTAAGCAAAGAATTACAAACATTGCTTAGGTTTTTTTTTTTTTTTTTAAGATTTATTTATTTATTTATTTATTTATTTGACAGAGAGAGAGAGAGAGGTCACAAGCAGGCAGAGAGAGAGGAAGGGAAGCAGGCTCCCTGCTGAGCAAAGAGCCCGATGCGGGGCTCAATCCCAGGACCCTGGGATCATGACCTGAGCCGAAGGCAGAGGCTTAACCCACTGAGCCACCCAGGTGCCCCCATTGCTTAGGATTTATTGAAGGACTCTGTGTCATTTATCTTTCTGGCCTTCCTTTAGAAGATGTGTGCTGGTGAATGGATTAGTGGGATTCTAGTGCTGATTTTTTTTTATCATGTAGTCACTGCATATTATTGATTATAAGCTTATTTTTCAAACTTTGGCTGTTCATGAATCACCTTTATGGCTTTGTCCATATCTGAACATACTATCTATTACTTACTTGAAATATTCTTTAAAATAACATTTTTATCTTAAGTTTTCAAAAAGAAACTCTAATCACTGCCATTACTATTCTTATTCAATTAATTACCTTTTATTATATATTGCTGCCTTTTAAAATAAAAAAATCACTTTAAAAATATTGCTTTTTCTCTTTAATTTTAAAAGTAAACTTTATTGTAACTACTATAACTTAGCAGAGCTCGATTTTTTCTTTTAGTCCACATTAAAAATATAAACAGTTATTAAAATAATAAAATGTAAAATCCCTCTAGGTACTGCTCAGAATCACTTAACGCACTGAGTCAAATGTTGGGAAAAGTGCCTAAAAGTGAAATGGACATTTCCTAAAAGAGTGGCCACCATGCCACCATTGGCACAGTTTTCTGTTAAAACTTGGCAAGGGTTTACTCCCACCCCACATGACTCTGAGAGTCAAGCCTGCCATTCAGCTAAAGATGCGCCACGTGGTGTTCACCATCCTCCTTTTTATATAGTGCCCTGGTTCCCTTTTAAGGAGTCCCCTTATTAAGGGAAGGTGACCTTGGCTTTGTAGGCTTGTAAGGGTGCTGGCCATAATGAATTTTTTATTTTCTCTGAAGCAAACTCTAAATTGGATTCAGCATTATGCTGGTGCATATATATAAAAAGGTGACCAATTGAATTTCAAATGTAATGAGGATGAAGTTTTGGTATTCAGTACAGCTGGCTTTGTTTTTAGCCCTAGTAGTAGGTTCTTTGCAATGAAATAATGCAGCTTTCCTCCTGACTTCGGAAATCACCATGTCTAGCTGGGTAGGAACAACATCTCTTGTGACCTATTCCAGAAATGAAATACAGTGTGTTCTGGTTTTCTAGTTTAAAAAAAAGATTTTTTTTTTTTAATGTGCTGAGAGATTCAGATGTGAAGTCTTGAAAAAAACACAAAGTATTCTTTCTAAAACATGCAAATGTGTCTCTCCATCACCTAGGAAACTATTATGGGACACCCAAACCTCCTAGCCAGCCAGTCAGTGGGAAAGTGATCACGACGGATGCCTTGCAAAGCCTTCAGTCTGGCTCCAAGCAGTCAACCCCAAAGCGAACCAAGTCCTACAATGATATGCAAAATGCTGGCATAGTCCATGCGGAGAACGAGGAGGAGGATGACGTTCCTGAAATGAACAGTAGCTTTACAGGTAAAGACCAGACTACCTTCCCCTTCAATGGATTTGGGGGAAGGGGTGGTGCGAGGCTTTGGTATAGAGTGAAGAGTAGGGGTCTGTTCTCAAGAACCATTTGGAAGGGTTGACGAAATTCGAACTGACCATGCAAGGCTTGGGGAAGAGGTGCTATTTTCCCTGATCTATTTTTCATGCTTCTTTGCAGGATTATTTTAACTTCACCCACATATCTTAAAGGGGCTAGAGGGAAATGTCTGTAGAAGGGAATTAAGAATAATCAGCATTGTTTCCTTCTCTTCAAAATGATATTTTAAGGATATTTGTATTTTGTTCATTTATTTCTTGGCCTTGACACTGTTCCATAATTTTGCCTGATGACCTATAAAGGGGGAATATGAGAATTTGTTTAACAGTTCAGTATCCATTGATGTTATATGGAAGGCTAGCAGCATCTTTTTGTCTCCTACCTTTGTAAATAGAGATTGTAATTGAACTATATACTGTGTTCAGTTACCTGGTGCAGTTTTTGTTTGCCCCCAAATGGAGAAAGATGGAAGAATAATAAATACTTGATTATATCTTACATATCTATTCTGTGTTACAGAGCATATATTGCTCATTGCTTATACATTTAAATATACATTCAGGGCCATCTGGCCCCAAGCTTAGGTATGCTGTGTTTTATGAGGGGATCTTCAAGGACAATGCCTCTGGGTAAGACGATTGCAAGCTGTGTCTTGCACAGTTCTTAGGGGCACCATTCACAGAGGTTATGATGTATATTTCCTGAGTTAGTGTAGTGACTCAGAACTGTTCAAAAATATTTTTTGCTTTATGGGGGTCTGACCTTAGGTAGTAACTCAAGGTGTCGCAACTGTACCAGACATTTGTCGATCCAGTTTGTAATATGGTGACTTTGATGAAAGCATGTTTCTCCTGTTTTTCCTCTGCTTACCTAATTTCTTCAGTATTTTAGAGTATCGCTATGGAGAAGTTATCTATTTGCAGCATATGAGATCTAACCCTCTCCTAGTAACCTTTCCTGACATCACCACACTTCAGTAATTACTTGATTGGACTCAATTCCAATAAAGGGGAAATTAGTTAAAGTCTGTATTGCGTTAGCAAATCTAATAGGATATTTAGGAAAATGCTTGTATTAGCCAAATGGTTTCTAGAGCCTGTATAGACCTCTTCTGAAGTTTTCTAATTCATTAAGCTCAGAAGCCTAAAATTCTTCAAGATGACAATTAAGATAATTTCTGATAGTTTTGTTGTCCTAACAGTAATCACTCCTTCTGCAAGAAGCATTGAATAAAGAAGAGGAGACCTACTTTGTTATCCTAGTTTCTTGGTTCTTGGTAGTTGTCTTATTATAAACTGTCTGACTTCTATCACGTGTGAAATGGTTAAGGTTAAATCATAACTAAGTTCCCCCTTCCAGCTCCAAGAACTGGATTCTATAAAAATTTCCATTTTCCAATTAGAATGTTTAGGCCAGGGGCTAACCTATAGTTGTAATAGCTAGGAGAAATTTACCATATTTTACATATGCATTTATTGAAATCAGCTCATTTCAATTACTTAGAAATACTTGATTCGTGTATAATAGTTCTTGCTGATAGGAAAGCAGATTATGAAAAAAAAAAGTTAATATTTCTTTAAAAAAGTAGCTAACATTATAATGTCTTGATCTTTGACCAAATAAGGATAGCGAATCATAATATAACCCAAAACATAGTTGTGGGCATAGAAATAAGATTTTCAGAGTGATGTGCATGGAAATCGTTCTGCTATGTGGACTGGATGGTCCCCAGGAAATGTGCGTGCCCTTATTTCTCCTCTATTTATTACAGTGGTTTCTGGCTATGAAGCAGGAATAAAGTAGGAATTGTTGACTATAGGTTTTAATGCTCTTCCTGTTACTAGCTACTATAAATCTTGGTCTCTAAAGGCCATGCCTTAGGTATTCTGACCCCACTGAATGCTCCCTAGAAATCCTGGCATCAAAGAAAAACTTTGGGGCTCAATTTGTCATTGCTAAAACCAGTCTGATCATTCCTTCCGCACACACCCACACAAAAGCCAGGTGGCACCTTATTGTCTTCCTCAGCCTCCTGTCCTTAACACCAAGAAAGTCGGTAGCATGCAGAGAGAAATGATCTTCAGATATACGTGTGATGGGCGTCCTCAGTATGTTGAGTAAATGCCTTCTCATTTACCACGCTACAACTCTGACAGCTGACAACCTGTCATACCCTAACTCATATAAATTCTTTCAGATAATTGACACTACCCAGTCTATGATATGTGTATCAAACTAGCTGTGTCAAAGCATTTTTGCTCTCTGAACCGCTTTAAGTAGCAATCCACGAGCCTCTTGGAGCATAGAGTGACAGTAATATAATGAGGTCTTGGCTCCTGGTTGGGAGAGTTATGATAAAGGAATGAGTTTCATATACAAATAGAGAAACACAGTGGAGATATTAAAAATATTTACTGGGATATTTTTAATTAACATGCTATTGCTGCTATCTTAACTGACTTCTGCTTTGGGTCTTTGGAAGGAGGTATGAAATGTCTGAATAATATGGGGAATGTCTGTAGGCAAAAGAGGAGGAGACTTGTGGCCAAAAGCCTCCTGGGGAGGTGGCCACAATTCCTTCCTGTCATCAGTGACTGAGGCGAGAGCTGAGCAACGAGGAACCCATTCCAGATACTTCCCCCAGAACTGACTGTTGAGCATGAAGCAATAGGCCAGTCTTCTACACAGTGTGCCTTAATTATGGACCTACATGAGTCCTTAAGAATGAACACTCTTTATGTGTGCTTCCTGAAGGTAGAGTTATATTGCTGACCAAAGCACACAGTTGCTTAATGCTAAATGAAAGCATTTGTATAAGGACCTTGTTTAGACTGCTTAGAAAATCTGTAACAGGGGCGCCTGGGTGGCTCAGTGGGTTAAGCCTCTGCCTTTGGCTCAGGTCGTGATCTCAGGGTCCTGGGTTTGAGCCCTGCTTTGGGCTCTCTGCTCAGAGGTGAGCCTGCTTCCCCCTCTCTCTGCCTGCCTCTCTGCCTACTTGTGATCTCTCTCTCTCTCTCTCTCTCTCTCTCTCTGTCAAATAAATAAATAAAATCTTAAAAAGAAAAAAGAAAATCTAACAAACCACCACAACTAAAAAGTAGCTGGTTCGTCCATTAACCCCCTCCAGGAGACATCAAAGGTTATTTAATTGTGTTCCGAGGCTTTATTTTCCTCCCAGCAGCCCCCCCTATTTATTATTGAACAAGAGGTTGCTGACGCTTCTCTTCCATTAGTAGGCAATGGTAAAACATTGCTTTGGAATGTCAAGAGATGATATTATTTTAGGAGCTAATGTTTCTCAGGGCTATGTGGCAGGCACTTTGCTAAGCTTTTTACACATATGTGAGGGAGGTCTAATAGCTTGTCCAAGATCACAAAGCCAGTGACTGTCAAAGCTGTCATTTCAACCCCAAAAGCTGACTTCAGAGCCCGCATGCTCATCCGGTGTGCTCTGTGTGTTTTAAATCAAGTTTATTAGCTCTGTACGCCGTCAGAGATGCACCTACTGCTAAAAGTTGGGGTCATGTGATATAGGCTCCAGAAATGTATGTCTGACATGAGTCATCTTCACAAGACCCCAAGTGTATGTCCAAATATGTGTATTTAATATTTGGCAGCTTTTTACTTACTATACATGAAAAAGTTATTTATGTTCTTTTATGGTTTATAAGTCATTTTCACACGTATCCCCCAAACCACCTGGAAACGTTGAGAGCTTAGCAACCTAGGCATTACCTTCTGCATTTTGTAGATGGGAACACTGAGGAACAGTGCATGTCCCCCCACTAGACAGCAGGAGAACCAGGCTTCTTGGTTCCCCATCCAGCCTGTGTTCCACTCGTCCCTTTTACCTATCCTGTTTGGATCCGCTGGCAACCTTTTGTCAGAGAGTGATACCAGTGCTCCTCCATGTTTGGTAAATCAAATGAAAGATTTTCTTAAAATCAGAGCATATGTCAAAGTCAAAGCCATGAGTAGGACGATGAATTTGTAAGTCTGCACTTTGTCGCGGTTCTCCCATTGTTGGACTTTTCATTTTCTTTGAGAGAATGAGGTTGTTTAAGGTTCTGTTGAACTGGAAAGAAGACACAGAAAGCCAAACACATCAAATTGTTTACATTAAATATCTATAGCTTTTTTTTGGTTAATTAGTTAGATAGGAGGAATCCTTCGACAGCGTATACACATAGCAAATCGTCACGATGTATCCTTTAAATATTGTACAGTTCTGTCAGTTGTACCTCAGTGAAGCTAAAAAAAAAAATCTTTCGATAAAAAAATCTATATTTAAGGGGCATCTGGGTGGCTCAGTGGGTTAAGCCTCTGCCTTCGGCTCAGGTCATGATCTCACGGTCCTGGGATTGAGCCCCACATCAGGCTCTCTGCTCAGAAGGGAGCCTGCTTCCCTCTCTCTCTGCCTGCCTCTCTGCCTACTTGTGATCTCTGTCTCTCTCTGTCAAATAAATAAATAAAATCTTTTTAAAAATCTATATTTATGTCAATCATACCTCAATTAAGCATTTTTTAAGACGTGAAAAATATATAAAATAAAAATATATTTGGATAATTTTCATTTTTCCTTAGGAAATTGCAGTTACTTAGATATTTTACCATTATGCTAATATTCCTTTCCCATAGTTGAGGTTTTGGAACACTAGCAGGGATTTCTTTCTTTCTTTTTTTTTAACATAAATTATATACACTCATTGTTAAGCTGAACCATCTCATATTTATGTCCCACCTATTGCCACAACTCTTCCTCTTATATTCAGTTTCTATTAAAATGGGTTAATTGGGGGCCCTGGGTGGCTCAGTCTGCAAAGCCTCTGCCTTCGGCTCGGGTCATGATCCCAGGGTCCTGGGATCGAGCTCCGCATCTGGCTCCCTATGCAGTGGAGAGCCTGCTTCTCTCTCTCTCTTCCTCTGCTGCTCCCCCTGCTTTTGTTCTCTCTCTCTGTCATAAATAAATAAAATCTTTCATAAAAATAAAATGGGTTAATTAAAATTCTTAGGTAAAATTATTGAATGTCATCCGTTGTCCTGGTACTTCTCTAGCTCTTAAAGATTGGGTTAGAAGATGATCACTGGCTCTGGTACTGTTGCATTTCCGGAAGCAGGTCCCATTCCCGAGCCCCCAAGATGCCCCCACACCGAGTGCCAGGCACATTGGCAAGCATTTTATGTGTCCTCAGTCCTTTAGTTCTCATGGCTTATGCATCGTTTCCATTTTACAGATGAGGAAACAGATGCTCAGAAAGGTAATCTGTTCCGAGGTCACACAGCTAGAACAGGCAAATCTCTGATTTGGTCTGTCGTCTGATGTCACATCCGTCATTTTCCTGCCAGTTTCCTGAGGGCCAGATCTGACCTGGAGACAAAGGTTAATCCTAATAATGTTGATGAAGAAACTGATGGGGACAGCTAACAAATCCTGTTAACTGTGTATGAGATGTTGTCCTGAGTGCTTTACTCATGCAGTCTCCCCACAATCCTGTGTGCTTGCTGTAGTTATCCCCATTTTATAGGTGAGGAAACCAAGGCATATAGAGGTTAATTAAGTGTGTTGCCCACATTAATAACAGGTGAGGCCAGGATTCAAAGTCAGGTAGTCTGCCTCTTAAGTCAGTGCTTGTAATTAATGTCTCTCTCTCTCTCTCTCTCTCTCTTTTTTTTTTTGGTCATGCCATATTGCCTTTTTTGTTTTGTTTTGTCTTTAGGGAATTGTGATAGAAATATTAGGAGTTTTTGCATAAAAATAGACATTCCTACTTTCTCTTGAACAACGAGAGATCTGGGGAGCTGGGTGGCTCAGTCAATTAAGCAGCTGCCTTCAGCTCAGGTCATGATCCCAGGGTCCTGGGATTGAGTCCTGCATCAGGCTCCCTGCCCAGTGGCGAGCCCACTTCCCCTTTCCCTCTGTCTGATGTTCCCTTTGCTTGTGCTCTCTCTCTCTCTCTCTCTGTCAAATAAATAAATAAAAATCTTAAAATAAAGAAAAAAAGAAAGAGAAAATCAGAGATCCAGAAACACTGAATCCACTTTTCCTCAGAATGCTGATTACCTGGCACTGAGTTCCCTGCTCTGCTCAGACAGGTTGCACTCTCTCCAGTGCTCCCTCCAGACCTACCATTTGTGCCTCTGTCCTGGTACTGTAGATGCAGGCATTTGCTCCATACTCTGGCGGGAGGACAAAATCCCTCCTAGAAGCTGAAGGTTCTAGTGATTGTTTTGAGAATTTGTTACCGCCATCCTACAAGTATGATTCTTATACCTGGGTGCTCTCAACATGCACGTTTTGGAAGCCTTCTCCCAAACCTGTTCTCTGTAATAGGGAGTCTGGATCTGCATGTTAGCATCTCTCCAGGTGATTGTTACAGCCATTGACTGGTGAGGAGTGTACATTCTAAAAACATCAGGAACGAGTATACGTTGGCTCCTGAGAACTACAGGCGGCTCTTCTGGATCTTGCCAAGTTTGGAAATTATTTTTTTTATTGATCAGAAATTTCAAAATATTTCTTCCATGTTGGCCTAATTTCCTTTTTCTGCTTCAGAATTCTAGTTGCTTTCTTAATCTGCAGTCATGGCTACAAATTGTTTTAAGCAAGCAAACAAATTGGTTTAAGCAAGAATTTAGGGGATCAAGCAGTTGAAGAGGCCAGGAGTACATGGAATGGGTGGCTCAATTAGGGCCATTTGGTGACTTTCTCTATCTTTCCTTTCTGCCTTTCCTCTATGTAGGCTTAATTCTAAGTCAGGTCTTGCCAAGTGGTGTCCAGATAGCCAGCAGCACCTACAGCATGAGAATCACCATGAGAATAATCCCAGCAAACGCTTTTATGCCTGGCATTCACCGCTTTGCTTTGGATCATGTACCCAATACTGTCACAAAGGCAAGAGTGATAATGTGACTTAGAACCAGCACATGACCTAGGAGTGGGTTTAAGTCAGTCCCCACCTAGACCACCATGACCTTGAATGGACAGATTTCCAAAGAGAGGTCTAAGAAGGGTTTCTAGGAAGAGATGGGAGAGATGCAGGGCAGCCTCTTCGATGGTGGTGGATTTTTGGTGGAGATGCTTGTTTAAGAAGCTCAACATGTTCTCCATCCAAATGTTGAATTACCTTCATTCTCATGTGCATCATTGGGCGCTACTCATCAGAGAAAGATTTGAAAGCAGCCTTTTATTATTCCTCAGTCTGCTTTCAGGATTCAGAAATGTCTACTGGAGAATTACTGTGGGAGATAGAAAATAACTACAACCCCTGATTATTATGTTTTAAAGCCCCATGGAGAATGATGTTTAATATTCTTGGCCTCTATAAAAATTCAGCCAGAATGTCAACAGTGCCATTTGTGGATACTTGGATGACATCGCCTCGTGATGTTTCCAGTTGATAAGAAGGCAAGGAGATTCATGTACTTAGAGTCTTCTTTTAAGACCCAAGTCAGATTAGTCCACCCACATGATCCTGTTCTGGGGGTAACTGTCATGGTTTTCACAGGAACATTCCTGTCACTTTTCCAAAAGAGGCTCAAATCTGACTCACTGGTATAGCTGTGTCTATAGTCTAAAGTTTTGTATACTTTCCAGTTTGATGTGTCAGTCTTTGATCTTTGCCACTGTCTACCAGAAATATTTTAAATAATCGATACGAAAATGGTTAGGATGCCATCGACGCTGTGTTTTCAGCATGGACTTTGTTCTTGCCCTCCAGTGCCTGCTGAGTCCTGAAACCAAATGGAACCTAAGAGCACGAGTATGGCTCAGTCTGTGTTTCGATGGCCTTATTAATACAAGAGACTCAAGGTTTTGAGTCATGAATTTGTTTCTTCTTTGGCATGTCTAGGTTTTGAGCAATGCATTATTTGAGCATGTCGTTCCCTTCAGGTATAATAAATGTGGTATGTCATTTTGATATTTTCTCTGGAAAGAACTTCCAACTACATAAAATGGAGTAGAGTTGATGGCCAGCAATTAGGAAAGAGTGAGGGCTTTTAAGGATATAGATGTGGACAGTAGTTAACTCCCCGGTTTGGGATATGATTGATGAATTTTTTTTTTCTTCTCTCCATCTCCCTGTGATTTCACAGCCGATTCTGGTGACCAAGAAGAGCACACTCTCCAAGAAACAGCACTACCACCTGTGAATAGTGGCATCGTTGCTGCTCCCATCACGGACGCTTCTCAGAAGTTCCCTCAATACCTACCTCTTTGTGCAGAGGATAATTTAGGTCCTCTACCCGAGAACTGGGAGATGGCCTACACCGAAAATGGAGAAGTCTATTTTATAGAGTAAAGTATACTGTTTCTCCTCCCTGAAGTTCTCTTCCTTTCTGTCATCCCCCCTTCCTTCCCATCTCTAGTGGCTGTGCTGGTCAATTACATCTAAAAAGACTGGTCACGGGCTCACGGTAGGCTTTTACACAATTTAGCCAGCTTTGTCTAGAAAAACAATTAGCAGAGCGTCCTAATCCTTGAGTCTGAGGACCTTGAAGAAGCATAAGGTTCATAATTTCCCTAAAGAGTGGGACACCACGTTTCGGTGTATATATAATGGCAAAGCATATAAAACCTTAAAAAAAAAAAAAGGAATATATTGAGCCATTAAGAAGAGGTAAATCCTCTGTTTATTTTTTCTTGTTGGGGTTGTAGGGTTGTCTTGTTTCGTTTTGTTTTGTTTTGCTTTTGGTTATGTTTTAGGAGTTCTTCATACATTCTGGATACAATTCCTGTATCATCTTGGTGGTTTGTGAACATTCTCCCCCACGCCTGAGTTTTCTTTTCATTGTCTTGACTGTGTCTTTTGAAGAGCCCAAAGTTCTTAATTTTGAGGAAGTCTGATTTATCAGTGTTTCTCTTCTGTGGGCTTTGTTTTTTTTAGTGTGCTGGCTGAGAAATTTTTGCTTAAATCAAAGTGATACAGCTGTCATTTTCTGCTGTCTTTGTTTTAGAATTTTATAGTTTACTTTTTACTTGTAGGTCTCTGATCCCTTTTAAGTTGATTTTGTTCTTAAACATGGGACAAGTACATGGATTAAAATTTGAGAATATGGAAACCCCCCTCACCCTCCACCCTTATCTATAGTCTCTCTTTCCATGGTTTTAGTTACTTATGGTCATTGTGTTCTGGAAACAGATGATCCTCCTGACATACTGTAAGATCAGTAGTAGCCTAATGCTACATCATAATGCTTATGTCATTCACCTCACTTCATCTCACCATGTAGACATTTTGTCATCTCACGTCATTACAAGAAGGGTGAGTAGATGTATTTTGAGAGAGAGAGAGGCCACATTCATATAATTTTTAATCATTTATTATAATTGTTCTCTTTTACTATTATTGTTAATCTCTTATTGTACCTAATTTATAAATTAAACTTCATCATAAGTATGTATATGTAGGAAAAGACATGGTATTTGTAGGATTCGGTACTATCTATAGTTTTGGGCATCTCCTGGAGGTCTTGAAACTTAGCCCCTGTGGATAAGTGGGGGGATTACTGTATATGGATATGAAAAGTCTTTCAAAATTATAAAACTTATACATACTCATCTGTGTATATATGTATATATATATACACACACACACATATATACATATACATATATAATATATATTATTAAAGTTAAACATTTAAAAATAACCTTTACTAAAAATGGAAAAACAGACAGTTGTAACCATTCTAAAAAATCTAAGATAATGTAATTTTTTAACGAGTAATAGTTAATTTTTAAAATGCTGCACTTTGGCTCTATTATCAGGACTCTCTCAAGATTTACCTCAGTTTTATGTACCACTACAAAAGAAAAAGAAATGGCCAATTAAACTATAGTTAAAAATATAAGTAAATCTATTATATGCAACTAGATTGAAGTTGAAGGTCTGCTGTTCAGTGAACAAGAACAAGGCAAAACTGACAAAGAAAAAAATTAGAGAAGACACAAATTACCAGCATTAGGAATTAAACAGGGAATTACCGCAGACCCTGAAGACATTAAAAGGTAATCAGAGAGTGTTGCCGACAAATCTACACACATAAATTTGACAACTTAGATAAAATGGACCAATTTCGTGAGAAGAATGAACTACCACAACTCATCCAATATGGAATAGATAATTTAACTAAGCTCTATAACTATTAAGGAAAATGAATTTGTCATTTAAAAACTCGTGAAAAAGAGATCTCCAGGCCCAGATGGTTTCACTGGAGAAAGGCTCAAAGAATTACCTTTCTAAGCAGTCTCCTTCTGAAAATAGAAGTAGAGGAACACTTAGCAAATTATGTTTATGAAGCTGTTGTTACCTTGTTACCAAAAGCAAACAAGGACTAAGATAGTCTAGTCTATTTTAGAAAACTGCAGACTTAGAGCACCTGGCTGGCTCAATAAATTGAGCGTCTGACTGTTGGTTTTGGCTCAGGTCATAATCTCGGGATCCTAGGATTGAGCCGTGCATTGGACTTCATGCTCCCCTCAGAGCCTGCTGGAGATTCTTTCCCTCTGCCTTCCTCTGCTGGCATGCACGCTCTCTTCCTATCTCTCTCTCTCTCTCTCTCTCTCTCTCTCTCTCTCTCTCCTTTTAAATAAATAAATAAATAAAAATCTTAAAAAAAAAAAAAGGAAGAAGTATGCACCATGACCAAGTGGCAATTATCCTAGGGATGCAAGATTGGTTCAATATGTGAAAAATTCCTAAATATAATCTAACATATTAAGATACGAAAGAAAAAAAAAACACATGATCATAATCATCAATGCAGCATTTGATACAATTCAGCCGTTCATTGATGGTAAAAATTCTCAGAAAAATAAGAGGAGAAGGGAATTTTCTTGACTTGATAATACCTACCAAAAATGTACAGCAAACATTATACTTAGTGGTAAAAGGCCAAAAAAACCCAAAACAAAACTTTCCCCTGAAAGATTAGGGACAGGTCAAAGATATTAGCTCTCACCAGTCTCTTTTTCTTTTTTTTTTTTTTAAGATTTTATTTATTTATTAGAGAGTATGTGTGGGGAGGAACAGAGGGAGAGAGACAAGCAGACTCATTTCTAGAAATGAGCTTGGAACCCCGCACAGGGCTTGATCTCACAACCCTAAGATCATGAGCTGAGCTGAAACTAAGAGTCGGTCACTTAATGAACTGAGCCAGCTAGGTGCCTCAGTTCCCACCATTCTTATTAACATGATTCTGAAATTTCTAGCCAGAATAATCAAGAAAGAGAAATAAAAGACCTACAGATTGAAAAAGAAAGAATAAAACTATCCCTCTATGCAGATTACATGAGTATATACAAGAACTGTACAAAATCACATAAAATCTACAAAAAAATTTCTAGAATAAGTGAGTTCAGCAAGATCACAAGGTAAAAGATAAGCATATATGTATATCTATATTAACATGTGTACAGCAAAATTCAAAATACAATATAATTCATATTTACTTCCAGAAAAACACCACTTACATGTAAATTAACAAAACATATACAAGATATTAAATGCTATAAACTAAAAAATATTGATGAAAGAAATCAAAGAAAGTCTAAACAAATGGAGAGATGTCCCCTATTCATGCATTGAAAGATGTAGATTGAAAGATACAATCATATAGTAAAATATTCCAAAATGGATATACAGGTTTAATGCAAATCCTGTCAAAATCTCAGTGAGGTTTTTTTGTTAATATAGACAAGTTCATTTTAAAATTTATTATAGAAAGGCGATGGAACTAGAATAGCTAGAAAAGTTTGGTTTTTTGTTCTTAGGGTTTTTGTTTTTGTTTTTGTTTTTTAACTCACAAGTCTGAGATCAAGACCCGAGCTGAGATCAAGAGTCAGACACTTAACCAACTGAGCCACCCAGCTGCCCCAGAACAGTTTTGAAAGAGAAGAATAAATTTAATCAGTCTACCAGATAACAAGACTTGTTATAGAGCTACAGTAACATAGGCTGTATTGTATTGGTGCATATCACTGAAACCCAGAAACAGATGCACAAATATATCCAAGTGATTTTCAACAAAGATGCCAAAGCAATTCAATGCAGGGAAGATAGCCTTTTCATGAACGTGGCATTAGATTAAGTGTTTAGCCAGAAGTAAATAAATTAACCTCCACCTCCACCTCACACCTTAGTCAAAAAATGAACTCACAGTAGATCATCACAGACTTAAGTGTAAAGCACAAGGCAATTAAACTTTTTGGGGAAAAAATTGGAGGGGTGCTCTAGGACTAGACGAGGAGTTCTTAGACTTGACATCAAAAACATGAACCCTAAAAGGAATCTTTGATAAATACGATGTCATCAAAATGAAAAACATTCGCTTCAGAAAAGACCCTGATAAGAGGATGAAAAGGCAAACTACATAGAGAATGTATTTGCAAACCCCATATCTGAAAATGGATTGATACCTAGAGTATATAAAGAGCTCTCAAAACTCAACAGTAGCATTAAAAAAATTCAATTAGAAAGTGAACCACAGACATTTCACTGAAGAGGATATACAGATGGCAAATAAGCACATGAAAAAAAATGTTCATCGTCATTAGCCATTAGGGAAATGCAAATTAAAATCACAAAGATACCATTACATGCCTATTAGGATGGCTCAAATAAAAATATAGTTAATAACAGTAAATGATGGCAGAGATACAGAGAAACTAGATCGCTCATACATGGCTGGTGGGTATGTAAAATTGTATGACATTCTAGAAAACAGTTGGAGAGTTTCCTATAAAACTAAACATGCAACTACTGTATGACCCAGCAATTGCACAATTGGCCAGAGAGGTGAACACTTAACATTCACATAGAAACCTGGACATTGGGGCGCCTGGGTGGCTCAGTGGGTTAAGGCCTCTGCCTTCGGCTCAGGTCATGATCTCAGGGTCCTGGGATCGAGCCCCACATCGGGTTCTCTGCTCAGTGGGGAGCCTGCGTCCTCCTCTCTCTCTCTGCCTGCCTCTCAGCCTACTTGTGATCTCTGTCTGTCAAATAAATAAATAAAATCTTAAAAAAAAAAAAAAAAAGAAACCTGGACATGAATGTTTATAGTAGATTAATTCCAAAGAGCCAAAAATTGAAAACAACCTACATGTCCTTCAGTGGTTAAACTTTGGTACATTCATGCCATGGAATGCAACTCAGCAATGAAAAGTATTAAGTATCAAGACATGTGACTATCTTGATGAGAATTACACTCAACGAAAAAATAGCAGTCCCCAAAGATTACATATGTATGATTCCATAGAATATTTTTACAATGACAAAACCATGGAAATGGAGAGATCAGTGGTTGCTAAGGATTTAAAAGGCGTTTGAGGGGGCAGGGACTCGAAGAAAACCAGGTGTGGCTATAAAAGGGTAACATAAAGAGGAATCCTTGTTATGATTGAAATGTTTTCTATCTTGGCTGTATGGAGAGCAATATCCCAGTTGTGACATTGTACTTTAGTTTTGTTAGATGTTACCATTGGGGGACTCTGGGTATAGGGCATGTGGGATGGCTCGCTATTTTTTCTTATAACTACATTTGAATCAACAATTATCTCAAAATACAAAAGTGTCTTTTTTAAAAAATCACAAATAGGGACGCCTGGGTGGCTCAGTGGGTTAAAGCCTCTGCCTTTAGCTCGTCATGATCCTAGGGTCCTGGGATCGAGCCCCACGTCAGGCTCTCTGCTCAGCGGGGAGCCTGCTTCCCTTCCTCTCTCTCTGCCTGCCTCTCTTCCTGCCTCTGATCTCTGTCTGTCAAAGAGATAAGATCTTTAAAAAAAAAATCTTAAAAAATAAATAATCTTCCTGCCCAGCAACGGCCATTTTTACTCTCTTGCTCACGTAGGAATAGCAAGACCGTGGGTTCTAGTGTTGGACTCCCTGGTTTTTTTGCCAGTGTTGCTAGGTATCAACAACATAGCCTTCTACAAATTTCCTTGCCTCTGTCCTCATCTTTCTCATCTGTAAAATGTTTTAATACTTCCCTCATAAGTTTATCGTAAGGATTAGTAAATTATACGTGAAAAAGAACAGATTTTGGTAATTCTAAGTGGACACAGAAGTAGTATTTGATGACAGTTGTTACTATCTTACCTTTCTTTTTTTTTTTCCTTTACATTTAATTGAGGTGATTTGTATATATATTTGCACATTCTGTTTTTCACTTAAGCCTTAACGTTTTTCAACAATTCGTAAGACTTGAAACTCAAATAACTGTGGCCATGTTTTTCAGCATTTATAACCTAAATGGCAGACTTCCAAAAATGATTACAGTTACTACCTCAATTTCAAAAAAAAAAATTTTTTTTTTTCATTTCTGGTTTGCAGCTTGAACTTACTGACCTTATAGTTTGTTGCCCCCTTGACTGAGCTTGCATAAGTGGCCTGGGAGCTCAGGCAAAACTTTGTCCCCGGGGTCTCGAGCTGCTTCTGGGTAGTTCCTCCAGATATTCTCCTCTCTCTGCATGGTTTTGGGGCGCTAATCAGAAAGAGTCCGGTGCCCTCTCAGACCTTCAAGGTCTAACTCAGTGTCTGTTGAAACACTTCGCCTGGAGTTGGGCTGGGCCCTCCAGAAGGCAGACACATTTAGTTTCTTCAAACTTTGTGGGGTTTTTTTGGCCTACATTCTGTTGAGGATAGGTAATTCCGGGTTGCCGTCACTTTGCATGCAACGTAATTCAGGATGTGATTAATGATAGGTATTAGCCTCTGGGAGCCAGTTGCGTGAACCGAGGTAGTTTCAGTGTCAGGGGATATCTTATGTAATATAATGAGTGAAATAGCAGCCTTCTTTGTGAATTCCAGCATTCAAGGTTTAAGTCAAAGGCAAATTTAAAGCAAACTGGTTTGCTCTTCTGCGAAAGTGAAGACTGAAGTAAGTCTAGACACGGGGAGACAGTGTGGACAAGGGGTATCCTTTGGAACTCATTTTTCAAAAACAAAACTGGCATCACATGTTAAGTGTTCCGTAACGGAACGATTATACCTTCGATAAGTAAAACGTCTACCTAAGGCCCTTCCCACGCCTTTTCAGATTCCAAACTTGGTCTCTCTTCTGGTTTGGGTTTGCTCTTGGCAAAGTAGCTTTGCCACTGAGCTTTTTGCCTTTTTTCTTTTCCTTTTCAAATGTATTTCTCGTTTTTTTGTCTTGATTTCAGCCATAACACAAAGACAACATCCTGGTTAGACCCTCGGTGCCTGAACAAGCAGCAGAAGCCTCTGGAAGAGTGTGAAGATGATGGTAAGGGGCTGGGAAGGTCTTGGTTCCAGTGAGCTGGGGGCTTATTCACATGGGCAAGGTTTAAGTTCTGTAGCAAGGTCAACCAGGCTTTAACAAGCGAGTTTTAAAAGGTCACCCAATTTCTAATAAGTGACCTGTAGTTTCCAAGAGCAGCAGCGGAATCAGAATTGTTTTAAAAGAACGGTTTGTTTACACATAAAGGCAGATGAGAGCTAGTATCTCCGTTAGAAACAGAAGTTTAAGGCCGTCAGACTGTTTCAGTGAAGATACAACCTCTGCCTTCAGGACCTTGGAGAAAACTCAAGAAAATCTCTTTAAATAGAAACCAGAGATGCTCTAGTTCCTTACCTATTGGGTCCTCATCTTTTATTGCAGAAGTCTTAAAGGAAAAAAATCAAGAGCTTTTCTTGAATTCTGCATGTTTCATTATTTGACATAGGGAAAGCAGATCGTGACTTCTTTGGGAATTTCTGTGTAACTTAGGATATACCCTTGTTATCTGAAAAGTACATTCTTCTAAGAAAGAGCCTGAGGTGTTTCCCTTAGCATGACTCTGCCTGTTAATCTAAAAAAAAACAAAAACAAAACAAAACAAAAAAACAAAACCCAACTACTGACTTGTTTATTGACTAAAGTTTATTTCAAGGTTTTGGGATTTCTAATTACTCTTCCAAAATGAAAAAAAAATTTTTTTTTGAGCAAATGTGTGCCTTTACAGTACACTGGAGTCTATCCCAAGTTCTACCAGAACTACTTTTTTGACATGGATGAATTAAAAGGGAAATGGTTTGTTTTGCTACTCATTATTCATCTCTGGCATTTGAATTAGTGGTATAATTATGGAGTACGTATTTTACTTTAAGATAATGAAGCTTTATTAATTTATCCTTTGGCACAGAATTGTTGTATATATAAACTTGAGGTTTGTCTGAAAATGTAAGCCAGTAAAGCGTAATACTGCCAAAACCTTGTACTCCCAGATCCTTCTGCTCTACATGGATTGCAGATACCATGAAATGAGCATAAAATTGCGTGTTCATATTATCTGAGTGACTCCAAATGGAACTACAAATCCTTCTGACTAAGGAGGCATGCCTGAGATGCTCATTTCATTTTGGTTGCTTAGTCCCATTCCTGAAGAAGAAATGGAACATGTGCGGTCAGCTTCATTATTTGCATGCTTCAGGGATAAGGAACTGTCTGATTATTCAAATATTAGATTTCATATATAATATAAAAGTGACCAATTTTCAAAGATCAGAATATAAAATACATTCAACCATAAAATTTCAGGGAATGAAATTTAATCTTTATTTAATGCTTGATGATTGTAAACGCATTTTTGACTTCTTATTACCATAGGAGAGCTTCACTGTCGGTCTCCATTATAATTACACTGGGAACATACAAAAATGCCTGTTAATATATCTTATAGATGATAGACGACTCCAGCAGCTTTTACCAAGAGAAACTTAATGAAGTGTTGAGTAGAATTGCTGAATTATTTTGTGACCAAATCTAGTACAGTTGACCCTTGAACAACACTGGTCCACTTTTATGTAGATTTTTTCCATGAATATATTGGAAAAATTTTTGGAGACTCCTGATAATTTGAAAAAGCTGCAAATGAATCTTACAGCTTCAAAGTACCAAAACCATTAAGAAAAGATTAAGCATTATTGAAAGTGTGTAGTATATAGAACTTATAATGTACAAAAGAAGTGTTACTCCACTATATTATTGCTAAGGTTTTCAACAGTAGATTATTTGTACTTAAGTTTTGGTGAAGTCAGGTTACACACAGACTTTTGACTGCAGACAGTCAATACCCTCAACCCCTGTGTTGTTTGTTTTTTTCTTTAAACCCCTGTGTTGGGGCGCCTGGGTGGCTCAGTGGATTAAAGCCTCTGCCTTCAGCTCAGGTCATGATCTCGGGGTCCTGGGATCGAGCCCCACATCGGGCTCTCTGCTCTGCAGAGAGCCTGCTTCCCCTTCTCTCTCTCCCTGCCTCTCTGTCTACTTTTGAACTCTGTCTGTCAAATAAATAAATAAAATCTTTAAAAACAAACAAAAAAAAACCCCTGTGTTGTTTAAGGGTCAACTCTTATATTTAATTCTTAACATTGGTGTTAATGATATTATCTCTGGAACAAGTATGTATTCATACCAAATACCATTAGTTGATGAATTATCCCTTCAACACTAGGATTCACATAACCTTTTTCTAGAAGAAATGGCATACATGTCTGTGTGCCTGTATATACAAACAGTATAAATATATAATCAGATGTTACCACTTTTCATTTACCGGTCCCCACACCTGCATTTTCTGTTACCTGTTAACACAAATCTGCCTTGTGTTGTTGTTTATGTTGTGACACAAAAAAGAATAACATTTTTGGTCACAGTATTGCTCCTGTATTTCTTTCTGTTTTCTGGAAGTCGTACACACATAGAATGTAACAATATAGCATCATACTTACTGTAAAAATTTTATATATTGTTTCCTAACTCAAAAAAGTGATGAGCCGGTTTGGGATTTTGATCTTCAGTGTGTAACTCCTTTGTTGTTTCTGTGTATCTAGTTGAATTACAGGCCTCTCACCTTGCCTTTGAGCTCCAGGCCAATATTTGTATATGCCTGATTGATAATGCTCTTTGTCTGAAAGAGACTTCAAACTCAGTCTGCTTAAAACCCAACTAATGATCTCTTCTCTCAAAACCTGGTCCTCTGTAAGTGTTCCCTATCTCAGTCAAGGGTAAAATTCATGCATACCTAAGAGTCCCTCTTGACTTACCTTCTCTTGACTTTATTTCAACCCATCTACCCTCTGAATTTACTTTGCCTCCCAATATCTCTGGAACCCATTCACTCTTTTCGTCACCACCTGTAGCATCCTCATTCATGCCACACCACTCATCTCTCACCCAGACTCTTTCCCGTTCTCCTTACGCTGTTCCCAGAGCAATCTTTTAAAGTGTCTGTGTGATTGTGTTATCACGGACCACCCCCTCAACCCCTGTTCACTGGTTCTCTGTCTGTACCGTAAATACTCAGCCCTCCCCATAGCGGGTCCCCAAGCCCTAAGTGGTTTGACCTCTGGCTTTTCTCACTCTTGTTCCTCTATACTCTGCCCTTCATCCCTACTAGTTCTCTCTTAGAATATTCTTCCATTTCACAAATAGTTATTGGTTGCCTTCTCTATAGTGTCCTAAGAACTTCAGATGTACTAATGAACACAACAGTCAGAATGCACTGCTGTCAGAAAGCTCAAGTGTCAGTCATTCATCACTTGAAGTCTTTTTGTTAAATTGTTCATATCCTTTAGGTTATAGCTCAGGGACTTTTCTGTGACCTTGCCCCACATATGATTAGGTCACTCTGTGATGTGTGTTACTTTAGAGAAATAATCAGAGTTTTAAATTTAGTTTTATTTATGGGAGTTTGGGATTTGTCTCCTCCTTGGAATGGATATTTGAATTGTTACTTTTCGTAGTGACTGGCCCATAGTAGGTCTCTCTCATTAAATGCTTATTGAGGAAATGAATGATTGCACCCCCAAAGACATTTTTAGATAATATTTAAATGGACATTTTCTCGAACGATTTTATGTAAATAAGATTCCATTTTTCAGAGACAATGCCAGCACCAAAACTTACTGTTGGCAACTGAATCACTTTTACATCAAGACTTTGCAAGGCGGATAGCACCATGTTGATTACTTAAGTCAGTAATGGAGACATCCATCCATCCATCCATGCATCCATTTTGAAATATTTAGTACTTACCATGTACCAAAACATTTTGCAATGGTGAGAACAGTTTTTATTCCGTGTGTTTGTGGAGCATACATTAGGGGGAATGGCCGCTTGCTCTGTAGCTAGGGGGACCTTATACATGAAAATGATCTGTTGTGTGCCCTTCTGCATTCTCAGTTATCATACAGCGTTTTACTTACAGCAGGAGGAGGTCAAGCATGGAAAGGATCTTGACTGGTTTTGCCCCCTGACTTACTGAGAACATTTTCATTCTAACATTTCTGAGCTGTTTGACTTAGAAATCCTATACAAACTACATGATGCTTCCCCACAGTCATTTCAGCGCAGCCTTCGCGTCTGCTTCCCTAACGTACAACATCCTGACATGATTCCTAACTCCCGCTGTAAGACACTGTTAAGTGTAGCACATTTTACAATCCACATTCTCAATTTGACTTTACCTTCCATTTTTCACGCAGCAGTATTCCTTCTAAGTTAAGTAATGCTTTAATTGTGAGTATAATTGCCTCACTGATTAGAGGATTATTGCGGGATTAAAAGGTCTAATATAGAAAGGTGTGACAGCTTTGTTTGCCCGAAATAAGGTCTGTAATAAGTGACTTCCCACTTAAGAACATTGAAATTGAAACCGCAAAGGTATTTGTCATCTTCTACCACCAATCAAACCCTATTCTGACACACGAGGAAATGAGCCATATAATTATGTTGCCAATATCAGCTCTTAACATTTGGTAATTTACACTGAGGTCTCCGGTTTACTAGCCAAGCCACTGAGATAGGCCACAATGCAGGTAAGGACAAAACGGAATGATGTGTTTGCTGCTGTTTTTCTGAGGGGAGTTTTCTTTCTTGGTGTTGGTATCTCAATTTTTCTTTCTCTCTTTTCTGTCTCATTCCCGCTATTCCTTTGGAGAAGAAGGGGTCCACACCGAGGAGCTGGACAGTGAACTAGGTAAACCCTCCCAGCCCGCTGCCACTGCCTAACTTGCCCTGAATGCTTTTTGTCCAGCAAATTGCTTAATCTTTCCGTTCCTTTAGTTTGCACTTCTTCAATGATGACTTTCACTCAGGTTTATCCATAAAATGTCCATCTTACAACCCTAGTGTCTGACTTGCAGGCATCATTCAGAGTTGTAATAAAATGTCATAAATTGTGTCTACAAAGAAAATGCCTGAGTGCGTCGAGACTAGAACGAAAGTTAGCAAGTTGGTGCTAGGTAGTCTCGTGAATTGTGGATGAAAAGGAGCCGGGAGAGGGTCGACACTTGCTACGTGTCTTCATCTCCAGTATGACCTACCTCCACCTCATTTCTTTCCTGGGTGTGAGTGGTTATGTCCAGGGGCCATACAGAAAAGCAGAGCAAAACAAAACTAAAGACCCGCCAAACTCATTAGGGATCTTTGTAGGAGTGGTAGCAATATAGGAATTCTCCCGATCAACTGAATAATTAGTAAGTCTTCATCTTGGACACAAAATCACCAGCCACATGATGACTTTATAGATGTGGTGAATGGCTTGAACACCAAATACTGAGCTTCTGTGTGACGTTGTCTTAGAGTGTGTGTATCCATGTAAATCAAGTCTTGACTAGTCTAGCTGTTGCAGTTAGAAATAATTTACATTTGCAGATAATGCCAAGCACTTTTATCTTTGCTGTTGGAATATATTGAATTATGTTCTATGCTAAGTTTTATGTTCAGCTTTGAAAACAATATTAAAATTAGTTGGCATTCCATCTGATGCATTTACTGAAGGATAGATTGGAAAGCCCAAGGTTTTCAAGCTAAATTGCACATAAAAGCCTTAACTTATTGACCATTGACCATCGTGTATTTTTGAGATAGAAGATTGTTTAACATCAATATGAAAAGAACTGTCCTGAGATGATTGAATCAGCCTAACATTTTTGCGATTGCCTTAAGAACTGAAAACATAAATACTTAACACAGATTACTGTTTTCATGTGTTTTTGTTTGTGTTTATAATATAATAATCAATCGTGGTTGACTGGAGTTATGATATAATGGAATTTAGCTCTGTTTTTCTTAATGTTACAAACATATCCCATTGTAAGTGATAGATATGCCGGCATCAGTCGATAACGATTGAATGGAGCTTGTTTTTAAAAGATATTTAATAAGTTGTCATTGTGGTAAGAAGGACTTGAGATCCATCCTTTGATAGAGAACAATTTGAAACTTGTTGCATCAAAAAAATTAACCGGTAATACTAAAATAATCAAAAAAGACAATTGAGATGCAGGATGAGCGCCTTAACCATTTGCTGAACCAATTTAAATCACTCTTCCTAGGTCATTGATGTGTCTGACCAGTGCTTTCAGAGGATGACTGGTAGAGATAATATAGCTGTGCACAGAGGCATATGTGCCTCTGTGGAAGTTTGAATGTTGACATTTTTAGGAAAGCAGTTTCTCAATTTTTTCCCCTTGTAACCGTAATATTGTGGGAACTTTCCTGTGCTGTTGAAGATTGGAAAAATAAGCATTAATGACTATGTATATTGTTTCTTATGGTCATAATGGGAATCCTGGGAGATGGTTTGGTGACATGGCAGAGCTGTCTCCGGAGGCAAATCATGCTGCCTGGCTCCTTATCCGGGCTCCCCTGTTGACCTGGGCAAGTCACTCCCCTTCTCTTAGCTTCCCTTTCCTGATCTGTTAAGAAAGGCTGAAAGAGTAGCTCCCATTGTATTTGTGAGGAAACTTAATGAAAGTGTGTCTTAATATTTGTCCCTGTGATCAGCACATAGTGTTTTTTCCTAGTAGTTTTATTATTTTTTGACTAATTCCATCTTGTTGGACTTTTTAATACTCCTTATGGTACTCTCTGCCCTTAATAGGGGTCAGGAGAAAGAATGTGTATGCAGAAATGACCCAGATGTGTCCTTGGGGGTAGAGATAGGACTCTCAACTTTTGCGTGCCATACACACTGTGTAAAGAGTAGTGTGTACACACACACACACACACACACACACACACACACAAACACAGTTTTCTCTTGTATTCATTCCATATTCTGTTGACAAGCTCACTGCCCATTTTCTTAATAAGAGGGTCCTAATTTCAAACAATAGCACCTGTCAGGTGTTCAGAGAACAATGAGATTTCAGATGTGACAAGAAAACCCTGTCTGTTATCTGCCTCTTAGAGGTGGGGGCAGTTGGTGTAGGTGTTAGACACAGATCATTTGATTATAGAGTTGTCATTTCTGAACTCGGTTGTTGGAGCTGGGTCTGTCGCTGCGTTATGCACTTCTGGTTTGCAGAATTTATCACATGCTCTGCAGACATTACCCCAGAATTGAAAAGTGTACTCCCTTTTGAAATTATAGGGTATGTAGGTGCTGGCACCAACTGGGAGAGGTAGAGACAAGGAAAATGAGGTTCCCTCCCCACCAAGGCTAAGTCACAGTTTTGAAATCTATCTGTGATCATGAACATGACTTTTAGTCTATGTGCTGACATATCTCTTCTGAAAACGTAGAACATGAGGCTGCTTCATATTTGCTTCTGTGGGGACAGCTAGTACAGAAATGAGATTCTTAAGGGCAGGGCTAGCTAGCAAGCAGGCTATATACATCTGTTCTGTTCCTTTCCTGTTTTCTTAGAACATTGCCATTTGTTGAGCCTACATTCCAGGTGCTGTGCAAAATGTCTCAGAGACATCCTCATTTAATCCATAGTTGACCCTTCAAGTAAATCCAGGTGAAAGTTGTCATTGTAAGATACTCAGTCACTAGTCTAATACTAGACCTATGAAGTGGTAGAGCAAAGGTTCAGTCCCCAGTCTGGGCAACCCCAAAAAGGTCTTAGCTGCCTAAAACAGCTGTGACAGGTAGTATGTTCTGGTCTGTTGTCCAGCAGTTGTTAGACATAGGGGCTGACCCTTCAGGTGACATCAAAGTGTTTAGTTACTTAAAAAAAAAATAATAATAATAATAATAAAAAATTGTAATGTCATAATTTTCTAGGCTTTGGCATTTTCTGTCATTCTCAGTTTTTTAGAACCAAAAGACAAATTCGAGGACAAACATCTTCCTTTTTTAAATCAATGACCCATTTCTATTTTAAGCATTGGGAGACTAATTCCTATTATTAAGTTAATCACCACAGTGGAAGTGAGAAATCTATCTTTTCAACAGAAAATGAGTTTTAGCTTGGAAAACTGGAAAATTTCTGGAATTTACTAATCTGTTCCAGAAGATGTGTTTAAATTTACAAGCATCCAGGAAGATCAGTTGCTCTGCCGCATTTCTTAACTCTAGAGTATAAAGTTGTTGACTGGACAGCAGGACAAAGGTCAGAGGTGGCTTCTATTTTTTCACACCCTCTTCAGACCTCTGGGAAAGCACTAACCATATGGTATTTGAATTGTCTGCTTAGTTGTGCACTTAATAATTATCTTTGTGTTCCAGGTGCCCATCACACCCTCATGGAGACAGTAGATACTCTCTAAATGTTGACAAATTAATAATTGAGTGAGTTAATGTACAGTACTGAATGAGTTTCAGGTGTGCAATATAGTGATTCAGCAATTCTGTATATTAGTGCTCACTGTAAGGGTACAAATGAATTAAATTCTTAATATTACCCATTTTATCTAAAGCTAGGCCAAACATTCAAGGTTGCAAATTTTGGAAAAGGGTTGGTCCAGTGAAACATAGAAGGGGTCCCCTCACACTTGCCCACTCTTCTGCCCCATGCCTGAACAAACATGTGGAGGAGCCTCAATTTGCATTTTTTTAATCTCGATTTCTCAACTCCTTGGAAAGATTTTCCTGGTTCATTTTCATTTAAATGGTAATTTCCAGCTTTGTGAAGGGAAACCATTTCCCAGGCATTTGATTTGCATCAGTTCGGAAGGTGGATAAAAATGCCAAGTAGCATCAACCTCTGTGCGTCGGACCTGTCTTGCATTTTAGTAGCTATGTCTCCTGGAACTCAAAGACTTCTTTAAAACCTGCTAAGTGTTTAAAAAGAAAAAAAAAATTAGAAGAGAAGGGGGAAAACCTGTCTCTTTGTTTGCAAATAGATAACATGTGGAGCAAAAACCATGAAATTAATGTCTCTTGATATGCAGCCAAATCTGAGCAAAACATAAACTTTGAGTAATTAGCGTGTGTGTGTTTGGGTGCATGCACGTGACTCCGTTTTCAGTATGGAACTGTTTGTGGCTCATATAAGCCCTGTGCCTTGAGGACAGAGTCATTTTTTGCAAATAGTGACCACTGGATTCCCTGAGTTTAAAAAAAAAAAAAAGAAGAATCTAGTATTTCAAAATAAATGATATTTTAGGTGTCTGTACCATTCCATTCATGTTGGTCTTTATAGCTGACTTCTGGGAATAATGATTCACTTCGGAGTTTGGCTTTATACAGGCTTGCCGAAACCCTGTATATATCCGAGTGGCTTTGAAATCAACTTGAGTAATTGCTGCTCTGCTTGAAAGAATTGCTTAGTGACATAAAACACAACCTGGTTGCTTCTTTCAGCAAGTCAGATTATCTGGGGCAATGGGCTTTTTCATAGTAGGTTTTTGTTATGGCAAAACTCACTATTAGCTAGTTAATAAAGTTCCAGCCTTTGTAGGAAACCTTACGGAGTGAAGTTCGGTAGAGCATGGGTGAGTTTTCTGAAAGGCACACACATCCTGCAGTGGCGTTTTACAGAAGCAGGAGAAAGGAATGCCAGCTTCCCCCTCAACTAGTGAGCTCCTGGAGGGACCTGTGTTTCAGCTTTCCCAAGCAAAGTGCTCCTGAAGGTGGGCCTGTTTGAATACAGCACTTGAGTGACGGATGCCTGCTATATGAAAGCCCAACTCCATCTCTTACTTAATTGGCAGTATTTTAATTAGAAACAAGGAGGAAATAAGATGCAAATTTCATTTTATTCCCGGGAGAGCAAAAGCAGCACTGTTGTATTGAAAATGAAAAGAAACATTAATTTTTCAGCCATTTTTGTTTGTATGGTAAGGTGTTATAGAAATACAATGAGAAAATTGTAAATATTTAAGGTATAAACCAGGCACTGAAGGCAAATTTTAATATATTTCTATTAAAATCTTCTTTACTAGCTGATTCAGCACAAAGGCATCTGGGACTACATTTGATTAAGTTTTATTAGCTCGTGCAAAATACCAGTAAGGAATTATTCTTCATGTAGACAAATACACTGTTAAATAAATATAAGACTGCCTTCTAGATTGTAGTTGTTAGGATACACGGTTTTCATTGGATTTAAGGCATTTTTTTTGAGTCTTTCTCTTGTTGCCTCACTCAGTTGTTAAAAATCCTTAGGCTCTTGAAGAATATGCCCTTCCTGCTCTAAATGTTCCTTTATTTTTCAGAGCTGCCTGCTGGTTGGGAAAAGATTGAAGACCCTGTCTATGGTATCTACTATGTAGAGTAAGTGGCTATTAATCTATATTTTAGTTTGTACTCCTCTATAATTATGTATATTTATGCTGAACAGAGTCTATCATCTTTATAAGGTACAAACTGATACTAATAACAACAACATAACAGTTTTATAATGAAAATATACATGCATATTATAGTGAATGAGAAAATATTCTGCAAATCTGAAGAGAGGAAATTATATTCTAAAATGGATGAGGGCAAGATAGCTGTGTCTTTTGTTTACCACTATCTTACCAGGACCCAGCACTGTCCTGGCACTGACTCACTAAGTATTAGTTGAATGAATGAATGAATGAATGAATGAATAAGAAAAGCAAACCAAATGGATAGGTGTTATCTTCTGAAGTACCTCTTTGCCTACCTTTTGCCCTACCGAGGTCTGAACTTTTCAGTAATTACTTATTCATTCAGACTTTCTAAAAGGGCAAGACACATCTTACTAATATATGAAATGTCACCAGAATGAAGAAGGTAATTCAGAATTGGCCCAAGCTGCAAGACCTTATATGCTTCTTCTTTTTTTAAAAATTTTTTTATTTGACAGATAGATCACAGGTAGGCAGAGAGGCAGGCAGAGAGGGGCGGGGGGAGCAGGCTCCCCGCTGAGCAGAGAGCCCAATGTGGGGCTCCATCCCAGGACCCTGAGATCATGACCTGAGCCAAAGGCAGAGGCTTAACCCACTGAGCCACCCAGGTGCCCCCCTTGTATGCTTCTTTGCCTCTCCCTTGCCAGAGGACCATCCATATAGCTCCTTTTTTTTTTTTTTTTTCCATTTTTAGTCTCTTAAACCCTCATGACCTCCGTAGTATGTACCTTATTCTCGCACTGTCCACACACTTTGTCCATTCATTAGAACCATCTATTATTAGGAGCTACTGAAAGAAAGGAAACCCGAGAGATTGGACACTGAAGCAGATAAACTCTATGTCACTTGCTCTGAGAGGGATGAGAAATAACTAATAAAAGATCCTTTGAAAGAAACAAATGCTATATAAATATTCCACCATCATAATCCTACGTGGGGCAATGAAGATAACCAGCCAGCTTTCTATCCCTCCTTCTGTTCGCAATGAGAAGTCATCTGATTGTGCCCTGGCAATAAGAGCACATGATGGAAATTGTAAAATGCTCAGTATCTTATTATAAAAAATTATGAGCTCAATATAGCAAGTGTCATTGGCCAGTACTCACATTGCTACCTCTGTACCTAACAGGAAGGATTTGGTGGTTTGGGACATTAGAAAAGCAAGTTCCATTCCTTCTTTGATACTCAGATAATAAAGTTCCATCGTGTACCTGCAGATCGTCTTTCTTTCAGATGTTTAGTGAGCTTTCTGCCTATCTGGGGTTCATTTGGAGTTCTCCCTCAACTTATTTGTGCATTAAGAGAGAAGGGGAAGAGGCGGTAACAACTTTATAGGAAAAAGAGACCTGATATATTTTTTTAAGATTTTATTTATTTATGGGGTGCCTGGGTGGCTCAGTGGGTTAAAGCCTCTGCCTTCAGCTCAGGTCATGATCCCAGGATCCTGGGATTGAGCCCTTCGTCGGGCTCTCTGCTCTGTGGGGAAACTGTTTTGTCCTCTCTCTCTCTCTCTCTGCTTACTTATGATCTCTGTCTGTCAAATAAATAAATAAAATCTTTTAAAGAGAAAAGATTTTATTTATTTATTATTTATTTTAGAAAAATATTTTATTTATTTATTTATTTGACAGAGAGATCACAAGTAGGCATAGCAGCAGGCAGAGAGAGGGGGAAGCAGGCTCCCGGCTGAGCTGAGAGCCCAATGCAGGGCTTGATCCCAGGACTCTGAGATCATGACCTGAGCTGAAGGCAGAGGCTTAACCCACTGAGCCACCCAGGCGCCCCAAGAGACCTGATTTGAGGGGAATGTTGGTACTTTCCCATCTGGTCCTCGTCCCTGTGCCCTGTGTCTTCGCAGCTCTACCTGCCTGCTATGTTAGGCCATTTCTTAGCATGAAACTGCCTAAAAGAGTTAGCAAGTAAGCAACTAGTCCTAGAAGTGAAAGGTAATTAGTCTACCCTATTTGACAAGCCTGCCTTTAAGAAATAGTTTGATTTCTGAATACTGTAATCACATAATAGGTATGTTCCCGAACCTCTAATGAATTATGATTTTGGTGGAAAAAAGAAAGAATGTATGTATGCTTGTGTGTATACGTTTGTGTAATATATGTGTATATACATTAAGGCCATATCAAGAAAACCATGTATGTACATGTATATGTACGTATGCACATGTGTGTGTGCCTTTTTGTTTTGCCATGGCCTTATTAGTTTTGGAGCCTTCTGTCGTATCTGGGTCTTTGTCACTTTGAACACATCACATTTGCTCAGGTTTGTGGCATTTGGAGTTTTTTTGCCTAAGGCTTAGACTTTTAATCCTGACTCTATGTCTGTTGATCAAAATAGTTGACAGATGTTGGTAGAGCCCTTCTTTGAACTTGGGATGAGTGCTTCTGCCCCTGTGAACTGCGGTAGGAAGTCGTGTAGCCCTCTGGCTTTGCATGTTACACACATCGTATCTCCCTTTAATCTCATTTTTTAAAACCATTCTAACAATCTACTTACTCTCTGTTGAATTAAAGCACCTCTCCCTGTAAGGTGCTTTCTTGGATGTTTGGAAGAGTCAGTGGTTAAAATCCTGGGATTTGAAAGCAGGCAGACCTGAACGTACATGCCTCGTTCATGTTTACTAGCTATGTTATGTTCGGTGAGTTATTAACTGCTTGGGAATTTACTTTCCTTGCCAGAAAAAGGGAATAAAAATGGGACCTATCTTCTGGACTTTACTGAAGATTTTAAAGTTTTTGCATGAAAAACAGGTAACATCGAAGCTGTCAGGATGTGGAAAGTATTCATGTCTTCTTCCTCGTCCTGACTACACCTGTCAACACGGGATGATCAGCATCTCAGACCACCTGCTTTGCTCGGTTCTAATCAAGGGCCTTGGCCAGACAGGCATTTTGCTTGGGGGACGAAATGTTTCCTAACCGAATACTGTCTGCCTCCCGCTGCAGCCACATCAACAGGAAGACACAGTATGAGAACCCGGTTCTAGAAGCCAAACGGAAGAAGCAGCTGGAGCAGCAGCAGCCGCCGCAGCCGCCCCAGCAGCCCCAGCAGCCCCAGCAGCCCCAACAGCCACCGCAGCCGCAGCCAGAAGGTTGGCTTTCCCCTGATGTGTGGGCAGAGGAGCTTGGGGCAAAGCTTGGGCACTGACACCCCCATGTGGTCAGAACCGGCTTCTGTGTTCACGTCCTCCCGCCTGGCGGCAGACCTGCTGTCCTGCAGGGGTGGAACAATAGAGCTTCTGCTGGAACTCTGCTGGCCCAGAACCCAGACAGCTGGGTGGGGAGTGGGGGGAGTTGGGGGGGATGGTGTGCAATCCCAAGCCCCTCCCCCGCCCCAGCTCTCCATTTTAATTTAGAAATAGGCTGTCGTCAAACTGGAGAACTTCCTGTTACCCCAGCATGTTTATAATACCAACCGGTCTGTAAAGCCAGACTGCTCTGAGCACTTTAGAAGGAGTTCCCGTGTCTGAAACGAGCTTCTAATCATAGGAACGTGACATGTAGGAGTCAGAAAAAGCTGGTAATTTGGAATGCTTTTTGAAAACTATAAGTGAATTCATGTTCTTTACAAAAGTCTGAACAGTTAAAGAATGGAGAATATTGAGCTCTCCCCTGCTGGCTCCCATCCCATTCTCTATGATAAACATAGCGCAGAATCTTTCTAGGATTGTACATAGATGCATATTTTAACAAAAATCAGATCATAACTTATATGTACGTGTGCACATGCATATATGTATGTATATATACACACATATATATTAGCTTTGTGAGCTCATGCTCTCATTTAAACTTATTTCTTATACATATTTCAAAGCTGGTTAATATACTTACCCTCTAATTTTTAAGGGTTGGTTAATTTTCCATTTTATGAATCTCTCCACTTCATTTAGCCATCTTTTATTAATAGATCTGATTATCAGTCATCTGTTTATTAATAGGGTTTTTTTAGTTTTTCATTGCAACCTTTTAAAATGGTAGGCTTAATAACCCCTCAACATATAATGTGTAAATAGCAAACACATGAAAATCAAATATAGTACTTTTCTTATTATAATATTGAATATAATAAATATAGACCATAGAGTAGAAGTCAATAAACCTTTTCTTTCAGTGGCCGGCTAGTGGTTATTTCAGTGGATATGCTGTTCATGGTGTCTTTATTACAGCTGTTCATCTCTGCCCTTAAGGTGTGAAAGTTTCTATACCCAATATGCAAATGAATTGTTGCAGCTGTGTTCCAGTGAAACATTATATATGAACACTGAAATCTGCATTTCATGTAATTTTCATGTGTTACAAACTATTCCCATTTTAATTTTTTCAACCATTTAAAAATAGAAAAAAACCATCCTTGGCTTGAAATTTGTATACAAATAGATGTTAAGGCCAATTCAGCCTCTGAGCCCTAGGTGGGCAATCACTGCCATAGTTTATATGTTACTGTTGTGTTTTTTGTTCTGTTTGTTTTTTAAGTAAGTTCTCCATCCAACATAGGACTCATGATTCCAAGATCAAGAGTTCCATGATATGCCAACTGAGCCAGCCAGGCACCCTCTAGAGTGCATTTGGTTAGAGTGTGTACATGTATATCTGTGTGTGTGTGTGTGTGTGTGTTTGTGTGTGTGTGTATGCACCTTGGAAAAGTTCTCCTTTCTACCTTCATTTCTTTTCTATTAAGAAAAAAGTCTTAAAATATATTTTTCCGAGCTGCTAAAACTTTGTGGTGTTAGAAAGTGCTGCTTAGAGAATGGGAGTGTACCTCTGAATGTATTAGCTTGGCTGGAAAGTGACGGTGTACCTCTCAAGAGTCATTCACAGTGAGGTGTCTCTGGGCCTCCAAGGGGAATAGGAGCACAGTTAGGACACAGGAGTGTTGGCGAGGGGTCCCATTAGGGTTTGAGAGATGGCGGAGGACAGCACCTCGGGCAGCTGCTGAAATCACCTTTACCACCTCAGATGAGCAGATGCTCCGCTGGTGTCTCAGTATGATTAGAGAAGTTTTTCCGTCATTGGGCCAGCATCAGTTGATTGTGTATCCTTCCCGATACTTTTTATTTGGTCTCACCTTGGACTCTCCAGCCAGAGAGAACTGAAGTTTTATTCATATCACAATACCTCTTTTCTCAAAGGTCTTAGGAGAGAGAGACAAAGTTCTTACCAGAGAGACAATCAACGGCCTTAAGAGAGAGAGACAGACAGTTACACACGCAGAGACACACACACAGAGAATCTTGATGTCCTTAACAAAAAGTGGGGTCAGATGTGCATTTCTTTTCAATCTGAGCGCTCTGTGCCTGGTTTTATCGGTTTGGGTAGTTGTATAATTCAGAAGGTGAGTCCCGAGTGAGTTGATTAGCAGCTTGAAGGAAAAACAGAACATTGTTTCTTTTTCTTATAGAATGGACAGAAGATCATTCATCGCTTGTGCCTCCTGTCATTCCAAACCACCCTCCAAGCAATCCGGAGCCCGCCAGAGAAGCTCCACTTCAGGGTAAAGTGTTTTTATAACGGCTAGATGTTGAGCTTAAAAATTGAAAAAATAAAATAAAATAAAGGAACTTGTAACTCCCACGTCATTTTTTGATAGTGAAAACCATAAAGTTAGAAATTCTGCATGTATTGTTAATCAGACTTGTCAAGAAAATTAGGAACTTTTTTTGTGTAAATTTCTGCAGCTAATTGTAATGCTCTGAAAATGATGACAAATTGCCCTTAGGGTTTCTGTGCTTCGGCACGGTTGAAATGAGTTGGTGTCATTCTAGTTCTAAATGCTCATCCCCTGTTCTTGGTGCAGTTTGGTATTTATGCTTCTTGTATAATGTTTCATTGAGTCCCACTCATTTACATTCACAAATCGTAGGAGCCCCTAGAGAGGTTCTTTTTTTTTTTTTTTTTTTTTAAGATTTTATTTATTTATTTGACAGAGAGAGACACAGCGAGAGAGGGAACACAAGCAGGGGGAGTGGAAGAGGGAGAAGCAGGCTTCCCACCGAGCAGGGAGCCTGATGCGGGGCTCGATCCCAGGACCCTGGGATCATGACCTGAGCTGAAGGCAGACGCTTAACGAACGACTGAGCCACCCAGGCGCCCCGGTTCATTTTTGAAAACTGGTAGCTCCAGAATCTTGCCGCTTTGGGCCTCATTACTTTTACACGATAGAGAAGATTCGAGAGGGCTTTTTTGTTGTTGTTGTTTATTTTTTCTCTTTTAAATAAGAAAAATAGAATGACCATTATATTCAATAGACTTGGGGAATGTTTGTGGTACAGACCTAAAATGACTAATGTTCGTTCCCTGTGCATTTTTAAGGAGGTATCATTGTGTTAGATTTGAAAAGATAAGTAGAAAAACTCTTCTCTAATTTCCATCCCTCCATTATAATTTTCGTGAGAAAGGAGTTGTTTCCTTGCTCACTGGTCCTGTGAAGAGATGGGTAATAATACCAGTTTATGTAAGATAACTTCTCCTGGCTTGGGTACGCATTTTTACGGTGCTAATCGTTTTAATAAAGATAGAACACAGCAGCTAATAACATTCATGATAGCAAGGTTCTGGCCTCCTTGGTACTTCTTAAATATAAAACTCCTTCTGCCACCTCCTCCTGTCTCCCTTCCTTGCCTCAGCGTCCTCATCTCGCAGTCTGTGGTACTCTCGGGAAGAAGCCATGTGGTGAACTTGGCTAGACTGCTTGATAATGAATTTTGCTAAGTTCACCACTTAGCAGAACTTTTCCTTTGGTCAGCAGTGCACTTGCCATTCTCGCAAGTGATCATGTTCAAGAGGGTTGCTCTGAGGAAACCTCTCGAATTCTGGCTGGTGCTTAGAGATTTCTGGAGCCATCCCTCCACAACATGCACTCCACCAACACTGTCTTCCAAAATAACAACACCCATTTATCCGGCTGTCCTTATTTACCGGGCACCCTCCCCTCCAAACACTTTACCTGTATTATCTGCCACAGGTATTCCTTATAACTCTCCTAAAAAGTGAGGTTGGTACCACCATTATCTCCATTCACAGAGAGAGCTCTAGCAACTTGCCCAAGGCCACACAGTGAATGGTAGAGCACCTGATCTGAATTCTCATTGCTATTATGTAGGAACAGTTAAACTCCTGGCTAAAACCTTTTTTGTTTGTTTGTTACATTATTATCTTTTTGTGTGTGGGGGGACACCTCCCTACACACTCTAAATCTGTACCATCCAGTTACAGATGTCACTGGCTACATGTTGCCATTTAAATCCATTACGATAAAGAAGTGACAAAGTCAGGAACACCTGGGTAGCTCTGTTGGTTAAGTGACTGCCTTCAGCTCAGGTCATGATTCCAGGGTCCTAGGATCGAGCCCCACATGGGGCTCCCTGCTCAGCGGGGAGCCTGCTTCTCCCTCTCTGTCTCCTGCTCCCCCTTGCTTATGTGCTCACTCTCTGTGTCAAATAAATAAATTTTAAAAATTAAATATTAAAAAAATAAAAATGACAGATTCAGTTCCTCAGTTCCACTAGCCACATTTCGAGGGCTCAAGATCTCTGTGTGACTAGCGACTGCTGTTTTGGACAGGGCAGCTGTGGAGTGTTGTCCTTGTCACAGAACGTGCTGCTGGACATCACGGGTCCAGGGTATACAAACATGGGTGCCCAGAACAGTACCCACCTGGCAGGGAAGCAAGCTCCTTGGGGGTCGTCCAAGAGCAGAATTTTAGGCCAAGATCCCAAAGATCCCGATTGAGTCTAGAATAGTCCCTACACACGAGTACTTCTAAAACATGAGCTGCTGTTCAGGTGATTTTCATACATAATAAGATGGTACAACTGGTGACTTGTCCGCAGACAAGTCTGAGAAAATGACATGTACCACAGGGCTGCAGCAGAGAGCTCCAAATGCCACTGCTGGTGGGGAGAAGAGCGCTTCTCTCCCGAAGCTCCGTTAACGGATGACCCACCCACACGTGACACGTAATAAACCATGTGTGAATGTGAAACCCTGTGATCGTCCCTCCCTAGGGAAGCATTGAGAAAGGAAGTCAGCGGTGTCATTTCCAAGCTCTGCTCGTGTCTCTATTAAGCTGGAAACCTTCTAAATTCAAAATATGCTAATGGCTTTAAAAAAAAAATTCATTCAGTTAAACTGCCAGGCACATTTTCTTCACATTTGCTAACTTTGCCTATAATAAGGGTGAGAAGCTTAAACACCCCACCACCTCTTCCCGCCTTCTCAAAGACACGTTACATCGCCTTTCTTTGTGCTGTTGTTCATTCATTCATTGATTCAGCGCAGATTTTTGGAGCACAGGAAATGAATCAGGCAGTATTCTACACGCGGGGTGTGCAAGCAGAAATCATCTGGAGCTCACAGGGCCGGGGCTATGTGTGTGTTCACCTGCAGGGCCCTTTGTGCACGGGAATGGGCGAGAATGAGCGAGAATGAGATCACCAAACCAATAGATACAATGTCTACTCTGTTGGATGGTGATACAATGTCTACCGTGTTGGATGGTGGTAAATGCTAGGGACAGAGATAAAGCAGGAAAGGGGGATGGGGAATGTTGGAGGAGGTATCACAATTTTTTTTT